TATATATATACACAAAACATATGTTTATTCGAATAATAGCAGTTCACTTAATGGTATTGATAATACAAGTATAAATAAAGGACATTTATGTTTATTATATCCAGTTTATACGTTCAGTCATAAATATTATTTATATGATGTATAAATACAATAGACAATGGTCCATTCCTTCAAGGTCTATTTATATAATATTTACAGTATTTTTAAGAATTAGTTTTCGGAAATTCGAGATAATTTTGCATTAACATAGGATGCATTCAAATGCGCGAGCAAGAGGAATTAATGTTAATGCAATCACAAATCAGTATAGCTATAAAATGTATATAAGCACCTATATGATTTACTACTCAAATTTTCGAAAACTATTATTAACACTTTCAAATTTACGATTAATGACGACAATAGAGTATGTGTGATATCGCAATATTTTTAATAATTTTGTAAAAACACGATACAAAAGTTCTCACAAGGCAGATAACATTTTAATTTAATATTCGGCATTGATATGTGCACGGAAACTTATGAATATGCGATAAAGATTGTTTGCAAAGAATTTTATTGACAAATGTAAAAAAATCTAAGAACTGATCAGCTTTCATTATCAATAAGAATGTAAAAGTATAAAAAAGAAAAAGAGAAAATGTACATATATTATTATAGCCTATACGAAAGGCAGGAGTTTAGAGAGGTAATCGATTTACAAAACTTCGATTTTGAATCAGGAAATCTGGTCTTTATTTCCAAAAATATGTCGCCCACATCTGGACTGTCCAAAACTGCCTGCAAATACAAATAAAAGAAAATTGTGAGAACTTTTTCAGCATATATACCGCAAAACTTATTCCCAACGTGGGAGCACTCGAAAATTTGAAAATCTCACACTTGTAACACAGTTTGTCCATTCAGGGTTTTCATTGTGAAATTGGATAAAATTTGATAAGAAAGACAATAAAGACTTGTAATAACAAAGACCACATTTTCTTAAAAGGTCAAACACTTTATTTAATAATAAAGGTGTGTGCGCCTGGGATTTAGGATATACAAAATTCATATGATCTAAGCTTGAATATACGTCTCCTTCGGCAACGCTTGTGATTAAAGAACCCCCTCCAATACCCAACTAAACCTCTGCCTAGACAAACAAGTTGTAATCGCGGTGATAGAAGCATGAAATATGAACTATTAAACACAACAGATTTAATCATCCAATTAGAAATATCGTGGGGAAAAATAAGTGGGACAAAAAGTTTTAGAAAGCAAGACTTGAAGATTTTTATGATGGCCATTGGATTTGCGACAGAAGAATATGGACGCATTTAATATAAAACTTGTTACGATAGTAGAAATAAAGTATAATCAAATTGTGCCGAGCTGCGCTTTTCGTATTTTCCTAGATCTATTTACCACTTTGTGGTATATTTTTAGTTGTGATAATATATCGCTATATTATTGTTAAAAATTAAAATTAAAATATTGATATAGCAATCAATACCAAGGATAGTAATATAATATTTATAGTAATATTAATAGCGGTAACGATAAGAATAAGAGTAGTAGCAGCAGCGGCGGCAACAATATCGGTAGCGACAACAGTAGTGATAATTACACTAATAGTAATAATAGTCGTACTATATATACTATCTCCTGTAGCGCAACAGATAACTATTTCCGTAACCTACTATTATAAATCGAAACGAATATGAAAACGTTGGAATATTTTGGTTTAGATCGCGTTTACATAAGCGATATAGTTCACCAACTCACTCAATATATATACTCACACACCATGAGAGATCGATCAGCTGAGAGCTTCTGTCACTTACTTTTTATTAATTTTTTAGTATAATGGATTATAGCCAATAGTCGGACTTAGATCAGATCAGCGACATTCATTGGCATTTCATCGATGTGAGTGTTGTAGAATTGCTCGATATCTTTCAGGGTTCGTTTATCTTCTTCTGTCACAAAGTTAATGGCCACACCTTTACGGCCAAAACGACCACCACGACCGATTCTGTAAATAATTAAGTAACAAAGATATAAATATCAAAAATTTTTTAATATAAAAATATACATAAAAAAACTAAACGCAAATTATACATATTGGTGATATCATTAAATTCTAACATTTTAATAGATATAAAACATGAAGTATGTCTATCTTCTTTCAACATAAAAATTATACTATTATTCTAAAAAATATATCCATGACTTTAATTTAAAGAAAGGAAATGTCAAAATATAATATTCCAAAAAATCATAATTATTGTTAAAATCGTTTGAAATTAAAGCTTATAAAATAAAATTTATATTATATATATTTTTGTTTTTTAACAATTTTTAACAAAATTTTTGTCCTTTTTTTGCTATTAAAAATTTCTACTTTGTTCAAATGAATTAAAAATATATATTTCGTTCGTTTTCAAGATTGTAATTACAAAGTAATCAAATAACTTACCGATGAATATAGTTTTCTCGATTGGAAGGTAAATCATAATTAATAACAAGTGACACTTGCTGCACATCTATACCGCGTGCCAGAAGATCAGTAGTAATCAAAACTCTTGAAGATCCAGTTCGAAATTGACGCATAATAAGATCGCGTTCTTTCTGTTCCATATCTCCATGCATGGCGGAAACAGTAAAGTCACGTTTATGCATACTTTCTGTTAGCCAATCGACTTTACGCCGCGTATTGCAAAAAATAACCGCTTGGGTAATGCTTAATGTATCATACAAATCGCAAAGAGTTTCCAATTTCCAATCTTCACGTTCAACGTAAACGAAAAATTGTTTAATACCCTCTAATGTTAATTCTTCTTTCTTAACCAAAATACGAATGGGATTCCGCATAAAACATTTGGATACATCCAACACGTCAGATGGCATTGTCGCAGATAATAATATAACCTGGAAAAGATAATTATAAAGCATTAGAAATATAAAGACTGAAATTGTATGTAAGAAACCACGTTCCGATATAATGTGATGATCAATATTATATATGTCAATGAGAGAAATAAACTGCATTTACTGAGATGTTATACTATACATGTATGTGCAATATAATAGCATCATGCTGTAATTGTAAATTGTTGTTGCTATTACAAAGATATTAAGAGTGACTAATTGATTTTTAGGACATTATGATTATTATTATTAGGAGTGCTATGCCATAATAATTGTTTGCATTTAGGCCGCTATTATTTCCAAAAGATAACACATTTCATGATACAGAGCATATGTCAATCCAATGTACATCTGTCAAGGAATGACACTATTACGACGCACCTGTATTTTATAATATATATTTGTTAACTTGACTATTATAAGATACACTGCAACTTTTTCGTCTTGTATGATTTGTGGACTTGTCCAAAAAAGATACTTTCTAACAATTAAAATAAAATTATCTATTAGGTAATTGTAATAAAAAATCTATATTCCTCAAAAATATCTTTTTATATTTACCTGCACTTCGTTAGGTAATAATTTGAATACATCGTGGATTTGATCCTTAAATCCTCGAGAAAGCATTTCATCGGCTTCATCCAGCACGAACAGTTTGATGCTACTTGCTCGAAGTGCTCGTCGGCTGATCATATCGTAAACTCTACCGGGCGTTCCGACAACCACATGAACACCCTGATCCAGTTTTCGCATATCTTCACGAACGTTGGTGCCACCAATGCATGCATGACATTCCGCGTGCATGAAATCTCCTAGAGCGATAACGACTTTCTGGATCTAAGTAAAAATACATTATTAGAATTCTACATATTTCCTTATTAAATATAACTTTTTATTAAAATAAATATTTATAATGAACTCTACTTACTTGCTGAGCTAATTCACGGGTTGGTGCAAGGATCAAGGCCTGGCATTCTTTAATACTAGTGTCGATTTGTTGAAGAATCGATATGGAGAACGTAGCAGTTTTTCCAGTACCTGATAATTAGAAATATTGATTGATATACTATATAATAAATACTTTACATATCATATTTACAAGATAATATTATTATCAATAATTGAATCTAGATATCAAAATTTCTTACCAGACTGGGCCTGAGCAATAACATCGAGCCCCCGTATACATGGTAGGATGGCACGTTGTTGAATTGCAGATGGTTTTTCAAAACCATAAGCGTAAATACCACGTAACAGTTCTTCTTTCAAGTTCATTTCGTCAAAGTTCTCCACAACCTGTTAAATTAAATATAATATCACTTTAGTAAAATATATCACTTTAGTTTATTATCTACATAATATACTAGTTTAGAGAGTTTATTTATCAAATTTTTCAATATCATTATACATATAATATATAAGTATATTATATATTTATATATGTATAAAATACATTCTCCCCCCCCCACACACACACACACACACACACACAGAGAGAGAGAGAGAGAGAGAGAGAGAGAGAGAGAGAGAGAGAGCAATGAAAACGATTAAATTTAACAAATACTTTTAACTCTCTTCTGCAATCTGCGTCTTTTTACACTTTCCTCATTTTTACTAAAATTTCAATTTTTAATAAATAAAGATTTTGACATTTGAGTTAAATTATTTGGTAATATAAAAGAGATATTAAAAGAGATATTAAATTTTTCCATATTTTTTGAGCCTAAAACAGTAAAAAAATTTGGACTACACAAAAAAATCTAAATTTTTAGTGATAGAGAGAGTAAACATATGATTGCAGATTGAAGATTAATATATTACAATATATAAAGATTAAAATATTTTAAGTTAAATATCAATTTTAAAATATTTCAAGTTAAAGTTAGCAGTATTAAATTTTTTAAGAAAATTGTACATATATAATTAGAAAATGTTTAATAATATAGTTAATTTGAAATAAAAAATCACAATAGAATAACATAATTATTTTGAACGAACATAATTATTTTGAATTATTTTTTTTACAGAAGAAATAATAAATAATTGCTTCTCTTATCCATAGTTCTTCTTTTATCTACAGTTTTTCTTAATCAATTCAAATTATTCGCAAGCTATTCACAGAGGACAAAACTAGATATTTTTAATTTGAAACAGATTAACTATTAAAAATCTAGATTACATATTTAATATTTTGATGTTTTGTATATACACATGAGATATTTTTATTTCAAAATAAATAACCACATGCCTGGATATCAAAGATTATTTTAAAGATAATAATTTTACATAAAATCATAATCTTGAAAGTATTTTTTCTTTAATTATAAGCGTGGGTATAAGTAGGTAAATTAGTAAAGACAATTAGTCTAGACAATTTTTATAAATACTGAGAAATGTGTGTGTATTCATCAGCTATGTTAAATGTGCTTAATAATTGACAAGAGTACATAAATACGTACATTATATGTACTACTTTAAATACCTGTACATTTAAATACAGAAATAATAATATATATTGCTAATGTAATTTATACTAATATAGAATATTAATTAAAGTATAAACAACATGTTGCATCTTCCAATAGTAAAAGAAAGCAAAATCTTATCATATTCAGAGAATGCAATAATCACTTACAACGTCCCAGTTGGATTCGATGACGCCATCGGGATCCATTCCAGGAGGTCCATCGTATGTGGGTTGTTCACTTTCACTAGGACCATTTTTTGAATCCCCCGGCCATTGATCATCATTTCTGAAATGATATTAGACAGGATAAAACAAGTAATAAGAACATATAGATAAGATTAACAATATTAAACGTTAAATCATGAGTCATATACTTTTATAAGATAACTAGTAATTTTTACATTGTAAATAAATTATAAAATATAATATATATTTACTTAATATATATTTACAAAACATAAGATTTTAATTTTATTTTATTGCAATATACATTAATTTCTGATATAAAGACTACATTTTCGATAAAGAAGAATTCAAATTTAAAGGGATTAAACTTCTATAGTGCAAAACATAAAATCCTGTATTACATTTTTTTATGTCCATAATAAATAATCGAACTTTATGTAATTTATAAAAATCTTAATAAAAGTATTGGTGCACGCATCAGCATTTAAACTCATCCAGAATCGATAATATCGATCACGACGATCAAGCGATGACAAATCACTTTAAATTCACGTGACCTTGAAAGTCGAACTTTTAATTCGATCCTGTGAAGTATGTACATCGTCTGTCGAGAGCTGTACGGTTCGATGGCCATTTTTACCGTGCGTTTCGCACGGTACAAGCGAGTCGACGGAATCGAACCCGCGTGGAGGCGGCACGAGGATCGTCGCTCGTCGCGCTATAATCGCTCTGACAGTGACTCACGCGGAAGCGTGCTCCAGACGCGAGACGTGTCGGTCGAGGCCAAGGGAGCGTGCGACAATGACTATGCGTCCAGCAATGCGTGAGGAGCCTCGGGTGGCGGGTCAGCGCGATTGATTTTTTTTTTCTTGTGTGTATGTGTATGTCCACCGACACAGAAACCGCGCGAAAAAACGATTTCCATTACGTAATCGTACGCGGTCAAATCGGAGAAAACGTGATCTTGTCGAGTTCGCACACACGAAGCGGATGAGAAAGAGAGCGCTTGCTTCACCCACGCTAACGGCGTCGGGGCGCATGCATGCCGTCGAGTCGCCGTGCTCGCTCGCTCCTATCATGCCACGCGGTCCTCCGCGGTATCGCGTCGAGGAGGTTAAGCGGCAGATCGACGTGGACGGCGTGGATCGTAGCTGTTAGTCGCGGCGAGAGCAATGTGACAAAAACGAATGCACGCCATGTTGTCAGTCTCGTGTCCCCCGTGCATCCGTCCGATTGCGGTACACTGTTCTTCACGAACGTATTTTAACCCACGTACGCGCGAATTTCGCGACACGCGCGATCCATGACGGCGTCGGCATCACGGTGATCACGGCGCGCCGCCAGAACGCGAGCGCGGTACGCCGTTACGCTGAAAAACCGTTCAACTTACCTTCGTTCTGCAGTATGCGACATGTTCAACTCGCGAGAGTTCGACAGAAAGGAAGAGCTTGAGTGGCGTCACGAGGAGTATTCTAGAGACTACCACGCTATGGCGCTGCGTACCGGTTTTCGGAAAGTACCGGTGCGATGATTTTTTGGTGGACGTTTAGCTTCGCCGTCGTATCGACACCAAAATTAATACGTCGATTGGCTCGGTTGCACCGTAATGAATCGTGACAATCAAATTAGAGTTTTTCTCGCAAATGTAAATGATTTTAAAGTTATTTCACTTGCCGATGGTTATCGCGCATGACGGAAATGACATTGCTATTCTGGCGCTTTATAGCGCCCCGAAATCATCGTGGTGGGATCTCGTGGGAAATATGAACGATTAAAACAGCACACAAATATTATACTTTATAAATATTATAATTAAATACGTTAATGTAAGATTATATTGTAATCATAATTAGTCATTAAAAAATATGATTTTATTATTTTATAATTAATACATGTAAAGTCTCTATAATGATACAAATGTTTATCTTATACAATACATACAAACTTAGATATTACGATCTTCATTCAGTTGCCCTTAATTAATTAATTTAGGTTTCAAATACACATTTAAATCTCAGAATATTATGTTCTAAAACTATGGAATGCCTGTTTAAATATGACCATTAGAGTTTCAATGTGTCTAATTTGGAAATAATTTTTTTTATAAAGAAAATATTTAAAAAATTTAATTGATCTTCACAAATTAAAATTATAGATAAAAAAATTAAAATAAAAAATAACAGTTTGAAGAGTCAATCGAAAAATATAATTTCATTACTGATATGTTTTCAAAGGTTTTTTTTACTATTCTATTTTTTTACTATTCTATTTACTAGAAAAAATTAACTGGCGAAACACATTATAGCTTCTATATAGAAAGTACCCGTGGAAACCTTAAAGTATTATTCAAAAACTATAAATGTAATTGATTTTTATTCAAATAAAATCGATTTTGTAAATGAATCAATTTGTAGAAAAAAAAGGATACTTGTTAATCTTGAAATATTCGTATGCATACATTTAAAAAATTTTATACATACATTATATAGAATTTTTATATCTATACATGCATTTATTAAAATAATCTATTATAGGAAAAATATACTGAGAAAATGAGTAATGAAATTATATATTTTTTAAATGTGCACACCTTATACATTTTAAATAAATTATTTGTTACTTCTATTGAAATGCATAATTTCCTTTGTCTGTTTTTTATATTGAATTTTTGATCAATTCATAGCTTCATGTAAATTTGTATTTAAATAGCTTGTATTATGATTTGTGAAACAACAATTTCACAAAGTTATATTTATGCCTGCAGGTATTTCTAGATAATCGGTTTAATTATATAAAAGCACAACCAAGAATTAAGAGCAATATCGCAATTGGAAAAATCATGTACGCGCCCATTCGTGGTTGACAAATAGAAATTAGTATGCCAGCGTCGTCCATTTCATTATGCTCTATACCGTCCTTAGTTGGTATTTCGACAATTACTCTATCCGCTGACAGCGGGTTTATACGAAATGAGCATTCAGTTTGATTAATACATGATTTAGTCACATTTTCATATTGAAAAGTCGGTTTATATATATCAAAAATCGCATAAATATCATTGGACACAATATCGTTATCACTATAAAAAATATAATAATAATAACCATCTCGTTCTACATGGTGATTTGCTTGTATGTGTTTACTATTAAGCAAATAGGAAATATTAGTACATTGATCTGAAGGTTGGAATTCATGAGCTAACAATATTTCACCATTGTAACAATTTAATAAATCAGTTTCAAAACTGGAAATAGACGACTCTTCGTTAGAATCAGATGTATAATTTTTGTCAGCATTTCCACCATGCTTAATGCCTTGATCTAATAAGGATGGCTTTATGAGTTCTCTATTTCTTTTAAATCTTTTGATATCCATTTCATCTCTCTCTTTTATTTCTTGTTCCTTTCTGTCATTAATTATATCTGAATTCAATGTTTCTTGTAATTTTTGTATTCGCATTTTTTGATTGTAATTATAAACTCCTTTTCTTCTTTGCTTTATTCTTTTATTTTTATTCATATTCAACATATGACGTTTAGTATGTCTTCCTTTTCTAGTGTTATTATTCATACTTTCTTGCTGACTACCTACATATTTATTAAGATAAGATATTGTAGTATGATACAATGTCTCTAAATGTTCTAAACTCTTTATCGATTCTTTATTTGTAATATATGCTCGTGTGCCTAGATTTTCTAGATTTGTTTCGGAAATTCTTTCATTTTTAGAACTTGTATTTACAGCTGATTTATCATTGATATTGTGTGTAGATCTAGTAAATTCAATTGTGGTTGTTTCTTTAGAATCAATTTCTTGTGCATTTGATTCATATATTATTTTAACTTGTTTGTTCACATCTGGAAAGAAAATTTCTTGCGATTGCTTATTAATATTGTGTTCCAGCAGGCCACAAGTACGTAAGTTTTTTTCTCCTTTCACTACCAATATAGAAGCTCCTTCGAATCTGAAAATATTTTTATTTCTTTTATATACGTGATATCCCATAAATAAATAACATTCAAAGATTTATATTAATAAATTATGTCTGTAACTATAATAAAAAAATATATTTCGTTCAATTTTCTTTACCTTGAACACACAGAAAGCGCTACAGTTGCACTTTTTAATAAATAAAATCCCCAGTATTCCAATGTATCATCTGGTAAATTCATGCTTTTTTTAAGTCTTATGTGTTTTCGTTTTGATGCTATCTCTGGTCGATGAGTCATTTGGAAAGCATTAAAAGTGCCATTCATTTTTAAAGTATGTTCCTATTAAAACAAAGAATTCTTTAAATTAATTTATACTTTGTTTATGAAACATGACAATAAATTCCAGATTAAGAAAAGATTAAATGCTAGATCAAAAGGATATATCTTCTTTAATAACAATTATAAGTATTGATTCATATTTTTTTGTTATATATAATATATAGATATTTAATAAAATTTTAGATTAATTTCATCTATATTAATATTTAAGTAACGATATGCACAATTTTAAAGAAATGATAACGTTAAATATTAGATATTTACTTTTCTTACCGAACAAAATATTGTTGAAATCCCATCGTTGATTTCTATAATATCGGATTCTGTTACAGCATATGCAACATCAGCATAAAAAATATGCCGTAGACACAAAGGAATTATTATAAGTAGAAATGGCAGAACAGCTGTCAACATGCACAAAATTATTAATCTTCTTACAACATCCATTTCTGCTATGCCTATTAAACAAAATTGACAATATTATCATTAATGTTACTTGAAATATTAACAAATGAACTGAATTTATATATATATATATATATA